TGTCGCAGGTGGTGCAATACCGGCGCACTTCCTGGCTGATCCCTGGCCAGAAGAAATTTTGGGTCAGTCGATACCTAGTACGGCTGACCCCTAGATGTCCGGATAGCGGGATATCGTGCGCTATCCGGAGTAGCTCTGCTCGGTACCGCTGCGGCACCACTAGCTGCCTCGTCACTATTGGGTCTGACCCCTCAATCTGCTTGTCGGTCTCCCGGTACAAAAGCTGCTTGTCCCAGACAAATCTCTCCCCCTCTCCCCCCGGAGGGTCTGCTGTCACCTTGTCTCTGTATACCTGCAAGGTGGGGTCAGTCACTACCTCTGCTGCGAATTCGTTAGGAGGGGCCCAGGGGACACAGTCAAGGGAAGGGGAAGGGTCTCTTACCTGAACCTCCGGAAGTGTGTTGTAGTCCTGGGTGCGGGCCTGTTGACGGGTGACCACAGGATGAGCTTCTCCTGTGGTGGGCGTCTGGGGCTCAAAAGCAGATGTGAGCCTCCCCAGATCGTTCCCCAATAAAACCTCCGCCGGTAACTGCGGCATCAACCCCACCTCCACATGTCCTGCCCCCGCTCCCCAATGTAAATGTACCCTTGCTGTAGGTAGCCGGTACACTGCTCCCCCGGCTACCCTGACGGCCACAGTTTTACTTAGTCTCGCTTCATCCGAGACCAGATGACTTTTGACCAAGGTGATGGTAGCCCCCGAATCACGTAGGCCCTGTACTGCTTTACCCTCCAAGTATACGGTCTGCCTGTGATGCTGTCTGTTATCAGCATTGGCCTGGACTGGATCCGCCTCGTGTAGTACTTCCCACTGTTCCACGGTTGTTATGGGAACAGCTGACCCATATGGTGTGGCCACTATATTTTGGTAGTGATGGGCGGCGGCGGCTCTCGGTGGTGGTGGTGGTGGGCCGGGGCGAATCCAGGTAGAACGATCCCTCAGCTGGGGACATTCCCTTTTATAATGTCCCCACTTCTGGCAGTGATGACAGGGGCCAGAAGCGGGCTGGCGAAACCGGGGCTGTACAGCGGGTGGTGGTGGTGGTGGTAGTTGCCTCGGTGGAGCTGGGTTGTAGCTGTTTCCCCCAAAGGTTTTAAAAATGGCTTTTGGGGCTGCCGGTTTCTGCTGCCTGCGTGCATCCAAGTACTCATCGGCCTTCCTAGCAGCTTCGGTGAGGGAGGTAGGGTTTCTGTCCCTCACCCATTCCTGGACCTCGCCTGTTACCCCCTCATAGAATTGTTCCAACAACACCATTTGCAATAAGTCCTCCATGGACCGAGCCTTATTAGACTGTACCCACCCCAGAGCGGCCCGATGCAACTTGCAAGCCCATTCCACATGAGAATCCTTGTCATTTCTCTTTAGGTCTCTAAACCGTCGCCGATATGCCTCTGGCGTGATTGCATATCGGGCCAGGATCACTTCTTTTACTCGGCGGTAATTCCGAATTTCCTCATCAGGTACAGTTCTATAGGCTTCCGCCGCCTTCCCTGTGAGCTTTCCTGCTAAAATAGGCACCCACTCATCTGGGCTAATATTATGCAAGGCACACAGCCTTTCAAAGTCTTGGAGAAAAGCATCTATATCTTCCTCTGCTTCTATATACGTTTTAAAGGCTTGGTAAGGAATTTTTGTCTTACCCTGTGTGATGGTAGTTGTGGTAGCATTCCTCTCCAGCTGCTGTAGTGGCCTTTGGCGCAGTATAAACTCTTGTACCTCTGACATTGTCCTGGATATAATATCCGTTGTTGGATTCTCTCCATAAAAGGACAGCCTGAACTGCACCTCTCTCCGGAACTCTTCTTTTTCAGCACCATCTGCTGCACTCTGTTGCTCAGGGATTACCCTGTCCTCCTGCTGGTATTCAGCCATCACTTCTGCAATGAGGATTGCTTTCTTTTTGTTGCTGGCTGCAATGCCTTTCGCTTCCAGGAGATCTTTTAGCGTGGATCTTTTAAGCTTGGCATAATCACTCTCCATCCGTATTCCATTAGTCCTTGTTCCCTTGTGAGTCTGGATCCCACCGCTGCCAACCAATGTAGCGGAGATGCAATATTCCCCAGGTTGTCTCCGCTTATAATCCAAGTGAGGCTCAGGAACAAGTAAATAATAAATCCATAGGCAGGGTTTCCAGCAGGTAAAATACAGCAATATCCCAACAGCAATCCCAATAACTGGACGACACACAGTTTCAGGAGCATAACTGACAAGCCTTTAATCACAGTCTCCTTATAAAGCATGCTCCCATGCAAGGGAGGGATTACAGTAATTATTACAGTAGCCAATCCTGTCCTGGTAACCTCCCACACATCTCCTCCCCTCAGCCAGCATCATAATCCCCTTATCCAGTACACCAATTCCCCCCGTTTCTGGATGTACCCCTAAACGTAGGGATACCTCTTTAAATCCTACATCCCCTGGTAGCCCTGATCTGGGTGAACAACATATCCAAAAATCACCCAGATCAGACCAGGGGTTCAGGAAAAGTATGGGGGGAATAAAATGACCGACCGCACGAACTGAGATAGCCGAATTCGGTTCCATGTGAATGGGCCCTGCGGTCGGTCCTGGCATAAGGGAATAAAATACACGAAAACCTCTAGCTATAGAGGCTAGGGAGGGTTCGCCTGAATCCCCTCGTTCGGTATTCTCTATCTACCGAACGTGGGGCCATTCGGTAGTTTGGAACCGAACGGACCAGGGCTGTGGAGGTCTCAGCGGTGTTCGCCTACTCGAGTGTCCGATTTTAGTTCCAGACACTCGACGGCTAAACACCGCTGTTCGGGAGTTTTAAAATGGCCACGTGTTCGTTTGTCGAATGGCGGCCACCCCCGAGAACAAAGGACGGCTACTTACTGTTCAATTACCCGTTCGCAACAATGTTGCAACGGGTAATTGAGGATACACTTCACACAGGGGAGGTCTGGTTGTTCGGTAGTTTCATTCGAATAAACTAAGGGAACGAAACTACCGAACAATCACAAGAATACAAGGCTTTAAAACACATAGGAAACTAACAGATCACACGAATGCATTTATCTCACAGACATTTGCAGGACAGCCCAGTGCCATCCGCTACACCACCTATATGGTGAGTTTAGCACTATAGGGTCAGAAATACACTGCTCAAAAAAATAAAGGGAACACTTAAGTCAATCACACTTCTGTGAAATCAAACTGTACACTTAGGAAGCAACACTGAGTGACAATCAATTTCACATGCTGTTGTGCAAATGGGATAGACAACAGGTGGAAATTATAGGCAATTAGTAAGACACCCCCAATAAAGGAGTGGTTCTGCAGGTGGTGACCACAGACCACTTCTCAGTTCCTATGCTTCCTGGCTGATGTTTTGGTCACTTTTGAATGCTGGTGGTGCTTTCACTCTAGTGGTAGCATGAGACGGAGTCTACAACCCACACAAGTGGCTCAGGTAGTGCAGCTCATCCAGGATGGCACGTCAATGCGAGCTGTGGCAAGAAGGTTTGCTGTGTCTGTCAACGTAGTGTCCAGAGCATGGAGGTGCTACCAGGAGACAGGCCAGTACATCAGGAGACGTGGAGGAGGCCGTAGGAGGGAAACAACCCAGCAGCAGGACTGCTATTTCCGCCTTTGTGCAAGGAGGAACAGGAGGAGCACTGCCAGAGCCCTGCAAAATGACCTCCAGCAGGCCACAAATGTGCATGTGTCTCCTCAAATGGTCAGAAACAGACTCCATGAGGGTGGTATGAGGGCCTGACGTCCACAGGTGGGGGTTGTGCTTACAGCCCAACACCGTGCAGGACATTTGGCATTTGCCAGAGAACACCAAGATTGGCAAATTCGCCACTGGCCCCTGTGCTCTTCACAGATGAAAGCAGGTTCACACTGAGCACATGTGACAGACGTGACAGAGTCTGGAGATGCCATGGAGAACGTTCTGCTGCCTGCAACATCCTCCAGCATGACCGGTTTGAAAGTGGGTCAGTAATGGTGTGGTGTGGCATTTCTTTGGGGGGCTGCACAGCCCTCCATGTGCTCGCCAGAGGTCACCTGACTGCCATTAGGTACCGAGATGAGATCCTCAGACCCCTTGTGAGACCATATGCTGGTGCGGTTGGCCCTGGGTTCCTCCTAATGCAAGACAATGCTAGACCTCATGTGGCTGGAGTGTGTCAGCAGTTCCTGCAAGACGAAGGCATTGATGCTATGGACTGGCACGCCCGTTCCCCAGACCTGAATCCAATTGAGCACATCTGGGACATCATGTCTCGCTCCATCCACCAACGTCACGTTGCACCACAGACTGTTCAGGAGTTGGCAGGTCTGGGAGGAGATCCCTCAGGAGACCATCTGCCACCTCATCAGGAGCATGCACAGGCATTGTAGGGAGGTCATAGAGGCACGTGGAGGCCACACACACTAGTGAGCCTCATTTTGACTTGTTTTAAGGACATTACATCAAAGTTGGATCAGCCTGTAGTGTGTTTTTCCATCTTAATTTTGAGTGTGACTCCAAATCCACCTCCATGGGTTGAAAAATTTGATTTCCATTTTTTAATTTTTGTGTTATTTTGTTGTCAACACATTCAACTATATAAAGAACAAAATATTTCCGAAGAATATTTAATTCATTCAGATCTAGGATGTGTTATTTTTGTGTTCCCTTTATTTTTTTGAGCAGTGTACATGTTTGTCTTCCTGACCCTATAGTGATCATTTAAGATTAATAAATTACTTCAACTAGTTACACTACTAACTAGTGTGCATTGTTTCTAACTCTACTGTATAAATGATAAATTTGCCTTCAGGGTTCACTTACCTATTCTTTGCGCATAGGCTAAAAGTATAGTAAGACTCAGCAAGAAAACTATTTATTTTTTTTAATACATTTTAGAGGCCTTTGGATTGAAGATGCATGATTCATGCATTACCAGGTGCAATGGAACCTAGAGGTAAAAATATTCCAAATGGGCTAATAGTTTCACAAACTGTTTCTGGCCCCCACTTATCTTTAGAGTCAAGATTTACCCAAGTTCCCTGGCACAATGTCTGCCTACAAAAAAAGACCAGAAAAGAGGTTCTAATAATGCTAAATGTCAGTCTATTCTATATTATGCTTCCACATGCAGTTTCTAAGGGAAAGTCCCATTTCTCATAAAATAATAATTAAAGGAACACTATAGTCACCTAAATTACTTTTGCTAAATAAAGCAGTTTTAGTGTATAGATCATTCCCCTGCAATTTCACTGCTCAATTCACTTTCATTTAGGAGTTAAATCACTTTGTTTCTGTTTATGCAGAACCCACCATTATCTTTTGCGGCCCCGGCCGGCGCGGCAAACTGCCGGGGCTGCCGTCCAAGGGGTCCAGCGGGTGGCCCATGCTGTCAGGGCCACCTGAAGGAATATAGATTGTAAGGGAGCCCGGTCTGCGCTGGGCGCTTTAACAGCACGACCGGGCCCCCTGTGATTACATCACACCGAGCTGGGAGGAAGTGACTGCACGCCACTCCTCCCAGCTAACACTGAGAGCAGCGCAGTAGGAAGACCAGGGAGTCAGAGTGGGAATTCTGACTCCCATCCACCTGAGCCACCACTGGACCCCAGTCACCCTCCTGCACCTAAAAGGTAAGAAACAGGAGGGTGACTTAAATATTGTGTGTGTTGTGCGTCGTGTATGTATGTGCGTCGTATGTATGTGTATGTATGTATGTGTGTCTGTCTGTCTGTGTCTGCCTGTCTGTGTGTGCCTATATGTATGTGTCTGTGTGTCTGTCTGTATGTGTGTGTGTGTCAGTCTGTATGTATGGGTGTGTGTGTGTCTGTCTGTATGTATATATGTGTGCCTGTCTGTTTGTATGTATGTGTGTGTGTGTGTCTATGTATGTGTGTGTCTGTCGGGGAATAGAGAAGGGGGTGGGAGAGAATAGGGGAGGGAGGGGCCCACAGATCAGTTTCGCACTGGGGCCCCATGGATTGTGTGTACGCCACTGACTTTGCCATATTTTCTCATTAGCCCTATTCATTTGTTTATTTTGGTTTAAGGCCCACTGACTTTACTCCAGGCAAAAGCTGTTCGAGAAGAGATTTTAGAGATAGTCTGATGCCTACAGGGATTCAAGATCCTATAGCCCATGTCCAGAATAATCAAGGTCTGAGTCCTTGAGAAGAGACAAATCAGATTTTGCAAGATGTTCCAGAGCTAATGGGTCCTATTCCTTTTATGGCTTTTTAGACAATTTTGGTTGTCACAAAACATGAGCAAGATTGTTTAATGCCATTAACAACGGGCAAGATAGCATTTAGATGTCCTTCTTCCAAAACCAGAATACATCATGAAAACAAAAGGACAGCCTTGCCTGAATATGTATTCACACTCCTCAAAATCAGACTTATTGTTCTTTTTCCAATAAAAAATGTTCTCTGGTGTGTATTCCTACGCTTATTCTTCCCCAAGGGAACTAGAACTTGACACCTATCTTTTCAAATTTAACAAGTAACTTAATCTTAAGAATTTTAAGTCATTGTAGATGCATGGCTCATCTTTAATTAGAAAGACACCTATTATCATATCCCTATCTTACAACGCCACCATAAAATTCACCAATGCAGGTTTGCATTTCCAGTTCAGGGTGATGCTATATAGAATAAATATAGCACCAGGAACCTTCACCAACATAGGTATATCTAGGTATAGATTTTTTTTTCACTAGACAATCATAGGCGTGCGCAGCCTATTGCATTAGGGTGTGCACCCTAAAGCACAAACATACGCCGCGTGTGTGTGTGTATATATATATATATATATATATACACATATATATATATATATATATATATACATATATACATATATATATACACACACACTCACAGACACACTCACACACACTGACACACACATACTCACACACTTACAGACACACACTGACACACACACACACACTGACACATACTCACACACTCACTGACACACACACTCACAGACACATACTCACATACTCACACACTCACTGACACACACAGACACACACACACACACACACTGACACATACTCACTGACACACACTCACACATACTCACACACACACTGACACACACACACACAAATTATTATATTTAAAAAAAAAATTTTAAGTGTCCACCCAACCTTCTACCAGGAGTGCTGGTGGACTTGTTCCTGGGGTCCAGTGGGGGCAGGCGCCTTTCTCCAGCTCAGCCGCGGCGAGGGAGCTCTCTGCTCTCTGCTTCCTCTCCCCGCGCGGGCTGTCTGCTCGAGCTGGGAGCCGGAATATGACGTCATATTCCGGCTCCCGGCATCAGCGCGCGGCGAGAGGAAGCAGAGAGCAGAGAGCTCCCTCGCCGCGGCTGAGCTGCAGGGTGGGGGGGGGGAATCATCACCTCTTGCCCTCCCATGACAGGGGCAAGAGGTGAAACAGGGGACACTGAGTGCCTGCAGGAACAGCGTTCCTGCTCAAAAAAAGTGCAGGAACACTGTTCCTGCAGGACTCAAACCATAGGCGTGCGCACGGGGATTAGGGTGTGCCCAGGCACACCCGGCACACCCCGTGCGCACGCCTATGTAGACAATATGCATATTAAACTCTCCAGAGCTTCTTAAAATAATTTTTTCTTGGTCAGCTTTGTCAAGATCATTATCCTAAAAGCCAGTGCAAGGTTGCCCAGGGCCCTAGGCATGATGCCAGATTGGGACCTCTCCCTAGAGCCTTGGGCTCTGATTCTGTGAGCGGTGTAATAGTGTGTAGTGGTGGATTTGCGTGTGGCAAGAGTTGCATGGTGGCTGACTGTCTGTGTATGCTGGTTGAGTGTTGTGTGTGTGGTTGCTGAATTTTGTTTGTGTATGTACAGGATATTCTAAGTGTGGCTGGTGGTCCAGTAAGGTATGAGCAGGATCCCTGGCGGTCCAGTGGAGGCTGAGCTCCATCATGGTTCCGCAACTGAGTCAATCACAAATGGGTTTCTGGCAACTTGCTACTTTTACTTCAGTAACACAGATGGAGAAATTATGTTTGCATACTTTCATGACAGCTGCTTTGAGTTGTTTCCCTTCTGTACACAAGGCTTATTTACTGTCCTAAGGAAGGGAAAGAAATTACCAGAAAGACAGGAAGAAAGAGACAAAGGGGGTACGGTATAAAGTAATATAATAGAAAGAAAACAAATGAAGAGATGGAACTTGAGAATTACTAAGTGAAAGTGCTATTTCATTGGAAAGAAACAAGTATAATGTGGAAATATACATTCACTAACTGAGAATTGCAGGGATTTCAAAGTGAATTTCAAATTTAAGGTCAAAATAGCTAAACCAAAAAAAAATCTCTTGGTCAGTTATGCTTTCAGTTTGGCTAGTTTGGCATTCACTTTGAAATTCTCTTTTAATTCACTTTAAATTATAGTGAGTAACACTGATATAGTTTGACTCAAAATTAAATGAGGGTCCTTGGTTGCCACAGCTAAGCCCCCACTAGAGGTACAGAAAAGTCATAGAATAAACTCTTCCTTAGCAACACCAGAAATGGGTGGCTATGTTAGAATGAGAGTGGTCAGCCACTCTGGCTAAACTGTGCAAATGGGCCAGGTTATGGTCACCCAGGGTCCTCATTCAGTGTCAAACTATTTGAAAATGTTTTAACAGTGCCAGGGGATTCCAGATACCATCTCTTTAAATGCAATGTAATGCAGATTACCATCATATCCGCTGTTTAGTATCTGTTTCAAACTAGGTATTCATATCAGTCTAAGCTTTATCATACTACCTAGTTATCAGACTCTTCTATCTACATGTATGCAATCAGCTGAGCTCTAACTTGATGCTTAGCATATGTAATCTATGTTATATTAATCTCCCTACCCTATCTTGGATGAGACACAATATAGTGAAAAGGAGACAAAATATAAAATTTCAGGTGGCATCCCTCACAATTTTGCTCCTGTTGCCTCCTTATAATGTTACCAATAGTGATGTCCCGAACTGTTCGCTGAACGGTTCGCGAACGGTCCGCCACGAACAGTTCGCCGCGGACTCATCATTGAGTAAACTTTGACCCTGTACCTCACAGTCAGCAGACACATTCCAGCCAATCAGCAGCAGACCCTCCCTCCCAGACCCTCCCACCTCCTGGACAGCTCACTAAGAATGCAGCTTCAAAATGGATGCTGTCCAGGAGGTAGGGGGGTCTGGGAGGGAGGGTCTGCTGCTGATTGGCTGGAATGTGTCTGCTGACTGTGAGGTACAGGGTCAAAGTTTACTCAATGATGAGCCCGCGGCGAACCGTTCGTGGCGAACCATTCGGCGAACAGTTCGGGACATCACTAGTTACCAATAATGCCTTTCTTTTCTCTCAGTTGCTTAATTCTGTAAACTCTCACAAGCTGCATGCATTTATATATGTTCAGCTATCTTGTATTCAAAATAACCACATATTTCTTGGTACCGTTACCCCGAGGCATAGCATAGAAAAGAGATTTACAAACAAAGAATGTGTATGATGCTTTATAGTCTAAATGGAAATATGCATCACCATAAATCTTAAATTCCAAGATTTTGAATCAGTAAAGTGAAATCTAATTTTCTAGTAATATATTTTAAATATGGCATTTGGTAAAAATAGCATTTAATGTAATCAGTTTACCTCCCAGGGAGCAAAAGCAGTTGGATTTGCGCAGTTTCGGTCCACACATATATGTCGAATTGCATTTGCAATGGCAGTTACTGCTAGTTGAGTACTGTAAACCACCCCTGGCCGCACCATCGCAGATAGAAAATCCTCCCTTAAAGTTTTGAATTTGTTCCTCTTTATGTTATATACTTGCTCCTTTGAATAATTGGTAATGCAGTTATATAATTCATTAAATTTTATTTTGGGGCAATCAGAAAGTAGTGCAGCATATTGGTCCAAAAGTCGATTCTCCTCAAACTGTTTGTGGTCTAGATCTCTGAGATACTTGTTAAATGATGAAGTGTCTCCACTTTTAAATATAAACCCAATCACTTGGCCAATTCTGTGGATGTTTGGAATAGAACTAATTCCAACAGCTGAAGACCAGCTGTCGCTCGCAATCCAGGTTTTTTGCATTCCCACTTCTAATACTTTTTTAAACAGTCTGATTAAAAGTGAAGGTTTCAAAAAGGCAACAATAACATTTACCCTGGTTTCTTGTTGTATTGTTTTGACTGTTTCGTCTATCTTAGATTGTATTGTACTATCAGATAAATGTGCAGGTATAACTTCTTTAAACGCAATGCATACATTGATGGTCATAGTCTGTGTTCCAAAGCTCTCTAAAGCTGAGCGACCATATTCATCATCCATGACTATCATTCCAATCCAGTTCCAGCCAGATGTTTCAATGAGTTTAGCCATTGCTCTGGTCTGATGGGCATCATTAGGTATCGTCCTCAGGAATGCAGGAAAGCGAAGTTTGTCACTTAGAACTTCAGCAGATGAAGAATGGCTGATCTAGGAAGATTATAGTTAACGTTATTGTATTTTAATGCAAATAGTTTCACCTGATAAGTCTGTGTAATTCTGATATATATATATATATATATATATATATATATATATATATATATATATATATATATATATATATATATATATAGATATATATATAGATATCTATATATATATATATGTAGTGTAGTTTGTGTCAAAAAAGTTTTTTTTTTAAATAGTATAATACATTTGGGTGACCCATTCTTTCCATTCCATAATATATAATGGATAATATAAAACAATTGCTGCAAATTTGCCTTTCTTATGAGTCTTGACAATTTTTTATAACCCACTGTCAGGGTTATTTACTAAAATGAGAATTGCCAGGAATTCGAAGTGAATTTCAAAATTTAGATATATGAAATATCCCAAAATACTCAGTAAAATATTCTATAAAATGTCTAGCTGAACTGCAACTGAAGGGATGTGATGTTTGTTTGTTTCATTTAAGATTTTACACTTCTCGAATAGAAGCTGGATTACAAACCTAAATTAAATTGGTTGAATACAAGGCCATCGCTGCCATATATAATTAAATAATATAGAGGAAAAAACTATTTTTTATAGAGAAGAAAACATGCAAAGATCTCAATCGATCACTTTACAAGCATTGCAAAGGCATACGATCATAAGATGGCACCCTACTGTATACAAGTACAACTAAAGTCATTGAGTTTAGGGAAGAGCTAGTTTGTCCTTTGGCACTTTAACTTTTTATTCTAAGCATAATTATATATACAATGTACTACTATAATATATATACACACACACATATATTTATATATATATATATATATATATATATAAAAACAAGATTAACTTGACACTCACCCTCTAATGTGGTAGGTAGTGGAATTCTTGCCCAGGTGCATCCCCAGCATACAATATATAGGGGTTGAAACCAGTGGTGTATCCTGGTTTTGTGCTGCCCTAGGCAGGACAAAACTCAGGCGCCCACCTCCTCCCGCGCCACCCCCACCCAACCCTCCCCCCTGCCCTACCTTCTAAATACACACACACACAGTCAGACACACACAAACAGTCAGACACACACACACAGTCAGACACAAACACACACACACAGACACACACACAGTCAGACACACAAACAGACACAAACACACACTCACACACACACAGTCAGACACAAACACAGACACAAACACACACTCACACACACAGTCAGACACACACACAGACAGAAACACACAGTCAGACACAAACACACACACACACAGTCAGACACACACAATCACTCACATTAACACTTTTTTTTTTAATTTAACACCCCCCCCTTACCTTTGGGAATGCTGGGAGGGGGGGAGAGTTCTCTAACTCCCTGGGGTCCAGTGGCTGCCGATCGGGCTGCTTGGCAGGCGGCTGGCGAGGGAGCTCTTCCTCTGAGTGGTCTGCTCAGCTCCCTCACGCGCCACAGAGTCATATGACGTCATATTCCGGCTCCCAGCCTCACTCTGTGGCATGCGAGGTTGCTGAGCAGACCGCTCAGAGGAAGAGCTCCCTTGCCAGCCGCCCGCCCGACCATCAGCCAGTGCCGCCCCCTGAAAAATGACGCGGCTAATACGTCCCTGGTTGAAACGTTGATTGATATCTTTTGCACAAATGTGATACAACAATAAAAGAAAATATCGAAAAGAAGTCCTTTTGAATGCTCCCACTACTCCTTGTTTATATATATATATATATATATATATATATATAGGTGTGTGGATGTTGGCTGTTACTTAAATAATTGTCATTAATGCCACTCATGGTATGTGAAATTAATTGACAGGTGTCATGTTTATGGTTCCTAACTATGGACTTAATTGTCATGCATGTCACACATTCTATATAATATGGAGTCATAAGTCCAACTATTGATGAGATAACTATTTCCTGTTCTGACCTCATGGTGTATACTGAGACAGAAAGTATAGACATGACAATTAAGTAGCATACATAATTATTTTTTCTGCAACAAATAAAGTCAACTGTGCAATAGACAGGTACCTTACTTAAAGCACATAGAATATGTTTGGACATGGCTTCCTACTATAAAACAGGGTGACATTCAAAGAGTTCCCTCAGGTGAGTGACAGGAACCTTAAAGGTGCCAAAATGATAAACTGAGCTTCCCTTGAATCAAAGTGTTGCTTCTATGTAAGGTGGCAAACAGGTGCTCAAACCATGGTTACATTGCTTAACTTTTATTTAGCTTTTGTAATATAACAAATGGAGTAATATATATTTAAGAAAATGACAGTATACGTTTCCCAACATAAAAATATATATGTTTTTACTTTATTAAATACCCACCTGTGGAAAAAGTTGTGTGTTTAGCATTTTTGCAATAGTTATAGAAACTTCTGAAGTAAATTTATATGTGTGTGTTTATATATAGTTTGAATATTGTATCCTAATGTAACAATGCGAAGTTTTTGTGGACAAAGACCCAGGACATACTTGAAAATGAGAGAAATCTCAATGTATCCATCCTGGTAAAATATTTTATAAATAAATATCACTGAGCCACTCTGGTGAGATCTCAAACGTGCGGTTTATGCAAGACGACCAAAGACTTTGCATGACCTGGAGGCATTTTGCCAAGACCAATGGGCAGCTATACCACCTGCAAGAATTTGGGGCCTCATAGACAATTATTACAAAACACTGCATGCTGTCATTGATGCTAAAGTGGAAAATACACAGTATTCAGAACTAAGGGTATTCAGACTTTTGAACAGGAGTCATTTAATTTTTTTCTTTACCATATTTTGTTTTATGAATGTGCCACTCTGTTATAACAAACAGTTGCATATGAATCCCATAAGAAATAAAATAGGCGTGGCCGAGCCGTCAATGAGACTGGACGTGTTTCGGTAGAGCTCCGCCGCAACTGTGCCTAAAGCATTCAAAAGCGACCTAAAAACCGATACATCACCCCTCACGGGAACCCCCGACATGGAGAAAAGACCCTCTAAAAAGCAAGGGAAAAAAACGGCCGAAATTGGGACCTCCAGCTCCGTCCTAGACCATTTCCCCATGCACAAACAAGGCCGTGCAGGAAGCCAAGATGGCGACGTGAACTCCCCACAAATATCACCGAGGGCGGCCAGGGAAGCCCCAGCCAACGACCAAGACACCATTTTGGCCAAACTCGCTGAAGTCAGGGCCTTCTTGGCAGGAGAAATAGCCAACTCAACGGCAATTCTCCAAGCGGAGATAGGGGCCCTGGGAAAACGCACGGCCATCTTGGAGGAGCGCATGGAAACCACTACGCTAGCCCATAACTCGCTTATTGACCGAGTAAATCGTATGACATCACATCTGGTGGAAACCGACCTAACATTGGAAGACATGGCCAACCGGTCACGGAGAAATAACCTCCGCATTCGGGGTCTCCCCGAGGAGAAAGACGAAGATTTGAAAGGGATACTACTATCCGCTCTAAAACCTCTCCTGCCCGCCTTATCGGAGGAACAGTGGCACATGGAAAGGGCACATAGAGCCCTGAGACCTCAAAAGATCGACACCAACACCCCGCGGGACGTAATCGTCCGCTTCCTGTACTACAGCACGAAGGAAGCGCTGATGGGGAAAAGTCGGGATGCACCGTTAAGGTACGCAGGGGCCACATTATCCTTATACCAAGATCTGGCACCGTCGACACTTCAACGACGACGGGAGTGGAGGCCTATCACAACAGCCCTACGAGACGCAGGCCTGAAATATGCCTGGGGATTCCCCTTCAAGCTTATGGTGTTCCGGGGAGACCGCTCACATATCCTGATGCCGGGAGGGGATCCCCAACGATTCTTTAGGAATCTCGGTCTACAACCACCCCCCCGACTTCCAGATATCTCTCTGTATCCTACCGAACTTAAACAACTACAGACAGAGTGGCAAGAAGTCGGAGCTAGAGGCCATCGCTGAAGACCTATGGGTATCGTATAATACATACATTACACAACACCACCCACCGCCTTAAACCCCACCTCACACTCCACGGAGACTGATTAGTTTTAAACTATCGTTTTGCACCCCTCCACCCCCCCCCAGAGCTACACATGGCATCCTTCTGGGGGGGCTTCGAGGGCTTTCCCCTCGCTGGCATGAAGGCCGACACTATCCCCCTTTTTCGTACTCTGACTGGAACGCTCAGAGGACTTACATCGTAACCTGACCTCTCTTGCCCCCCTTTTCAGCCAAGCCTCCATTCCTGTTTTAATTGTAGGCTCCAGACAACCCGCAATATTATGTTACCCTATGTTGCATGTCAGTGGCCTACTCTAAATTGTCGAGGAGGCTAATATGGGAGTGGATCTAGCCCCCTTGCGACTTGAATTGGGAGGGGTGAAGGGGGTACCGCAATAGGCCTCACGCAGCCCTTTACAGGACTCAACCTGACAACTGATCCCGCAGGCTGTGGGGGGCCACGAGACTTTTACCAAGGTGGAGGTTCACTGACACCCGGGCCTTGCAGAACCCGGACCCACCTAATTTTTCGACGTGCAGGCCTGCATCATATCATCACTATTTCCCTAAGCTACAGTAATATTGCATGTCTCCTTATATTCTGAACACTCTTACTATTCACGATCCTCTACCTGCTGTACGAGGAGGGGGAGAGGGAGGGAGGGGGAAAAAAAAAAAAAAAAAAAAAAAAGGAAAAAAAAAGATAAAAAGGGGGAGGAGAGGGGGTATGAAGTGTTTTTGATGTTTTATACATATGTAATGTTATGACTGGGTGCAATAGATAGAGGTGAAAATAGTATTGGTTACCTATACTCTACCCAAGCTATGACCACCCCAGACTCATGCCCATGTAGGGGTTCACTCTTTAGTCCTATGTACAACCCTACCGCTGTAATGGTCTCGACACTCTCCCCCCGTCCCGTGGCTTTCCTCAGAGATCCTTCTTCCGCGACACCATGATTCCTCTATATAGTGGCAGGTTCCCAACATCTATTACCCCGTTTACTACATACGTATAGCAGAGAAAGAGGGGTGGCCGTACTCCCACAAAATTACACACACACACCCCAAAAGAAAAAGGAAAAGAGGAGGGAAAGAAAAAAAAAAAAAATTAAAAAAAAACAATAAATACCACTAAGACAAATCGGTTATACCCTCCTATGCTTGATCATAATGACACTACCAACCCGTGATCCCACGAATCACCAACATCACACAATAGACACGTAGGATTGCGACGGTCAGAGTAGCACTTCCTATATACATATATCGCCACACCTAACCACATAGAGGGGAAAGGGGTGGCGGACGGATAAACACCTTGGGAAGAGACACCAGACAATTACAACACGACCTCATTGACTGAACGCCTGCGAGATGGCGGAGGAACTGGAGAGTCTCGCATTGAAAGGGGGGGGGGAAACGGGGCGGGGAGACGGGGATCAAGGGCGGGAGGAACCCTGCTAATCGCACCCCCCAAACACCCTCACATTAATACCCGGGAAAGACTGATAGAGGGGCACCGACAGGACAAATCCCTAGCTACATACTACCTCGGATAAGAGAATTAAGAGGTCAAATCAAATTGTGTAGGCACACGCGTGATGGAACCCATATATCCCTAATCCCTTCTTACGTTGATCGTGGACGGGATGAAGGAGCATGCTCCCAGAAAAACCCTGGCAAAGAGTAAGACCAGAGTTACTACATCTCTTCATCTGACTCGACTCGGATGTCTTTCTTCTTCTTCTTCTTTACTATTCTATCTTTTCCTCCCTTCTTTTGTGTGGTGCGACCTAGAGGAGCGACGGAGGCGGGAGGGTGCCCGGAGAGGCACGGGACATGACACTGAGTCAGGCGTAGAACGACCCAGGATCCCGAAAGGCTATAAAAGACCTAACCAAACACATCGCGATGATTAAAATCACGTCATTGAATGTTAAAGGAATTAATGCTCCTAAGAAGCGCCGCCTTATGTTTAAGGAACTGAAGAGACTGAAGACGGATATCGCCTATATCCAGGAAACCCACCTCTCGAAACAAGCCAATATAAACCTAAAAGACCACGTCTTTCGAGGATCTTACGAAGCAAGATCACAATGCAAACGCAACGGAGTAGCTATTCTGATCAGGAACAGCTGCCCGTTTCGCAAGACGAATCAAGAAACAGACCCAAACGGCCGATACATTATAGTATCGGGCACCTTGTACTCACATACCATGCACCTGATTAACGTGTATGCCCCTAACCAACCAGACCCCTCGTTCTGGACCACCCTCCGAGAGAAAATCTCCTTACTTCCACATGGCATGGTCTATATGGGAGGAGATTTTAACGCCACCCCATGCCCGGCAGCGGACAGGAGCACTAAAGACGGAACACCGAGATCCCATGGAAGGGGTGGACAAGACCGACTGCTCAAAAACTTTATACTAGATGTGGGCCTAACAGATGTATGGCGAGCACACCACCCAGGAGACAGAGATTACTCCTTTTACTCAACACCTCATGGCACATACTCCAGGATAGACTTATTCCTAACTAACGCAACAGGCATGCCCAGGATTACGAGCTCTGCGATTGGCAATATATCATGGTCAGACCATGCGGACGTGTCCATTATATTGGGCAACTTGTGTTTGGCCTCACCGTGGACGTGGAGATTAAACACATCGCTACTAAGAGACCCGGAGCTCAAAGAACAGATACGGACTGAAATACTGGAATATTTTACCACAAATAATACCCCGGATGTTAGCGCAGGGTCGATATGGGCGGCCCATAAAGTGGTTATAAGAGGGACCCTCATAAAACTAGCCACTAGGAAAAAGAAGATGAAACATAAACAACTGGAGACCCTGTTAGATCAATTAAGGAATCTTGAACAAAAACATCAAGCAACACCCGACAATGAGATTTATAAGAAACTGGTAGCGGTTCGGAGGGACATCCGCACACTCCTACTAGACGATACCGCTCAATCCATGATATGGACGAAACGGACTTACTACGAGAAATCCAATAAGACGGACTCACTTCTAGCCCGAACACTGCGACCTAGACAAGAACGATCCCACATCACGGCCATCAAACATCCGGATGGAACAACGAAATCAAAACCTGACGAGATAGCCAAAGTCTTTGAGGACTTTTACAAAAAACTGTACAACCACACACCAGACGCACACACTCCTGACGGAAGTGAAGAAGACCATATTAACAGCTACTTAAATAACCTCGGCCTGCCCAAACTAGGGAGAGACGCGATGAACAACCTGTCAGCCGAAATTACAGAGGAAGAAGTATACAGAGCCATATCTACCTTGAAAGGTAACAAAGCTCCAGGCCCGGATGGGTTCGAAGGTACATACTATAAAACCTTCAAAGAAGAACTCACACCCCAACTAATGAAACTCTTTGACTACATGAAACAGGGAGGACTTCTCCCTCCAGACATGACCCTAGCTACCATAGTACTGATACCTAAACCTGACAAAGACACGCTCCAACCAGGAAACTACAGACCCATATCATTGATTAACCAAGATCTAAAAATAATAGCAAAAATACAAGCAGACAGATTAAATCCGCTACTAAACTCACTCGTACATGCCAACCAAGTAGGCTTTATTCAGGGCAGGCAGCTGTTCGAGAATACTAGAAGGAATATTGACCTAATCTGGAAACAAGTGACATCTAAAATCCCTACCCTAGTGGTCTCTATAGATGCAGAAAAGGCCTTTGACAGAGTGAGATGGCAATTCCTCTTTTCGGTCCTGAACCACCTGGGGTTCCCGAAAGAATTCATAACTACTACAAAAGCAATGTACCATGAGGTGAGAGCACAGATACAGCTCACTGGTGCCCCGATGATACCTTTTCGGCTCTACAACGGCACTAGGCAGGGGTGCCCACTTTCCCCACTCCTGTTTGTACTAGCACTGGAGCCTTTGATGCAAGCGATCAGACAACATCCAGATATTGGAGGAGTCCGGGTAGGGGACAAAAAGTTTACAGTCTCAGCATACGCAGACGACGTTCTGTTGACCATCACGAACCCCTCGACGTCCATGTCGGCCCTCCAGGATTATATCAAGGACTACGGGGAATGGTCTGGCTATAAGGCCAATATGCAAAAATCTAGCGCTATGCCAATTGGCATGACTGAGACAGACATAAATCACATACAACTGACCTACCGTATCAGGATGGAGAGAGAGTCTATGAAATACCTGGGTATACACCTAACTACGGACCCGACACGCCTCTACTCCGAGAACTATGGCCCCCTAATTAGGAAACTGATAGGAGACTTAGAAAGGTGGACGGATAAGCCCATCTCCTGGATAGGACGGATTAACTCTGTTAAAATGAACATCCTCCCGAGGATTCTATTCTTATTCCAAGCCCTCCCAATCCACGTCACCAAAACACAACTGAACCCACTTCAACGGTCGATAGCTGACTTCATATGGCAGAACAAGAGGCACAGGATATCAAGACAGATTCTCTACAGACGAAAAGAAAGAGGGGGACTGGGCCTCCCAAACCTATACTTCTATTATCTTGCAGCCCAACTAACACAGATAGCTATGTGGCATTCCCCTCCGGAAGAGCGGAGATGGGTCGAAATAGAATCCATGATGGTGGGATGGGACATCCCCCAGTTCACTATGTGGATCCCGAAAGACCACCGACCCTTGATACGGGTGACTTGCCCGTCCATACTTAATTCGCTCCAAATCTGGGACAAAAATAGAACCAAGTATGGACTAGCGACCTCCCCCTCTCCATTGACTCCAATTCTAAGAAATAGAGAGTTCCAACCCGGTATGGCTCCTAAAGATTTCCGAAACTTGGAGAGAACGGGCCTACAACGGATCCATCAATTATATCATAATGGGAACTTAATCCAATTTACGGACCTTCAACAAGACAACCACCTAACTCCCGCGGATTTCTTTAGATATATACAGATTCGAGACTTTGCTAGGAAATCACACATAAAGGCTGCAGCTCAAGGACATATGACGTTCTACGAGAAACTATGCCTTCACGAAAGGACCCCCAAGGGTATGATAACCCTAATGTACGCCCACCTTAGCGCAGAAACCAAAGAATGGGGGAAACTATCTTACACCGACCATTGGGAGATAGAACTAGGAGAAGAACTAGAAGGCGTAGAATGGCAAGAAATCTGGGAAGCAAATAAAAACGCCTCCATATGTGTTACGCTACAAGAACAGACATGGAAGACCATGTTTAGGTGGTACACAACCCCAGTAAAACTTTATAAAATGCACAAAACAGACACCGATGATTGCTGGAGGGGATGCGGAGCCCGAGGTACATACCTTCACATGTGGTGGGAATGCCCCAAACTTTCTGGATTCTGGAAAGAGACAGAAAACCTACTAAAACAAACATTTAATAAACCCCTGACCAAAGATCCATGGGTATATCTCCTAAACAGATCGGTGGACGGATGGACCAAGAGAGAACAGAAACTAGTCCATAAAATAACCCTAAGCGCAAGGAAAACAATTGCGATGAGATGGCTTTCACCAGACTCACCCGAGTTTCCGATAGTGATATCCAGGATCCGCGAATGTAGGATTATGGACGACTTAACAGCGAGAGTGAAGGGATCAACAGAAACATTTCTAAAACTCTGGGAACCCTGGGATAACAGCGCAGTAGGCTCTAGAGAGGTCGGATAGGAATAAACGAAAGATGTAAAAGGGTCTTTACAATAAAGCTAAAACAGCTGCGGAGTCCTCCTACACGGAGATCCAACCAACATTCTTGGCCGAGTGAGATCGGGCTGAACCTGTTGCCCCCCGCCACCTTCTGGACGTACCTCCCTCCCCACCTCTAGGTCACTGCAGTCACCACACAATGCTCCCTTACCTTACTCCACTTTCTCAGTCTCCCCTTTTTTCTTAACTCTTGTTTTTTCTCTTCCCGCGCCTATACGGGAAAAATCCATTTCATATCCGCTACTTACTCTGCATATCAACCTCCTCAGACAAGGTCAACGTAACGAACGTAAAGGGAACCCTAGATACCCCAGATAAACCTCAGACTATTAATCCTCTACTTATATCTAAGGACCTATCAAACCACGGATTAGATACTGACAATATAGCTATAATAATAACGACACAAGACTTACACGACATATGAAACAGTATATAGCTCATCGGTAGACCTCAAATTGCCGCTGGGTCAGGGACGCTTCCCTCCCACACCTAAATATCCCAGACAAACCGATAAATTGAACTAGGGAATTACAATATTAAAAATCCTTTAAAGAGGATAAACCCCCATGGATCCTTTGAATATAAGCACATTCTGTAAAGATTGAACTTCATGTGTCTGTTAAGAGGTTACCCACACTTTGGCTTCTGCGCAAGCCCAATCGTTGATACTTGGTTATACTAGATGCAGCTACTAAGACCACTGGAGTACTTGATGACAATGAGTGATTTGGAAAGTTAAACCTAGTTCAACCTATTTACTTACTTGAGTTTACTTTTGTGTTAAAAAATTCATAAAAATTCCTTGACGGACAGAAACGATGATAGCAATAATGTATAGCACGCTTTGTTACAAGATGTTTTGAAATGAAGTACATGTAAATGACTTACTCTATGGCTTCTGCGTAAGCCTGTAAACTAATGTTGTATCATTTTGTCCGCCAAGATGGAAAAATAAAGAATAAAAAAAAAAAAAAAAGAAATAAAATAAATGTGTTTTGCCTGCTCACTCATGTTTTCTTTGAAAATGGTACATCCATTAACAGTTCACCAAGGGTATGCAAACTTTTGAGCACCACTGTACTACAGGTTAAATGCATTTAAGAAAATGACAGTATACATTTCCCAACATAAAAATAAATGTTTACTTTATTGAACACCCACCTGTGGAATAAGTTGTGTGTTTAGCATTTTTGCAATAGTTATAGAAACTTCTGAATAACTGGCTCCAATGACGGCCTTAATTTTCGGTGTATTGTCCGTGTAGTTACATTGAAATTTTAAAGTGTCTTCCGTTGAATTAAATGTTGTAAGAAATCTCATTGTTGCCAATACACCCAGTCTAGTTTCCGAGCAAGTGTCATAAATTTCATACCCAAGTTTTATTCCTGGTATGAGTGAGGAATTGTTTATTGTCTCAATAGCATGAATCATAGCCAACATTTGCAGTAAGCCTTGTATTTCAAACCTAAAACAATAAAAATGCAAAATAGTAAATGATCGTTCAAATTTCATAAACATGCAAATCAGAATTACACTGTTATTGAGATCATATTTTTAGTAAACAGCAATAATCCAAGCAGGAAAATTATGCCTTAAGGACAGCGGGCGTACTATGCCGCCCTTGGGAACCGGGTCCTAAATGCCAGTGGGTGGCATAGTACGTCCCCGCCATCCTATGCACTTCCAGTGCCTTGCAAAAGTATTCACCCCCTTGGCACTTTTCGTGTTTTGTTGCCTCACAACCTGGAATTAACATGGATTGTTTGAGGATTTGCATCATTTAATTTACAGACCATGCCCACAACTTTGAAGATTTTTTTTTATTGTGAAGCAAGCAACAAATAGGACAAAATAACAGAAAAAGTCAATGTGCATAAGTGCGCACCCCCCTAAAGTCAATACTTTGTAGAGTCACCTTTTGCCGCAATCACAGCTCCAAGTCGCTTTGGATAAGTCTCTATGAGCTTGCCACATCTTACCACTGGGATTTTTGCCCATTCCTCCTTGCAAAACTGCTCCAGCTCCTTCAAGTTGGATGGTTTGCGCTTGTGAACAGCAATGTTTAAGTCTGACCACAGATTTCTATTGGATTGAGGTCTGGGCTTTGACTAGGCCATTCCAACACATTTACATGTTTACCCTTAAACCACTCAGGTGTTGCTTTAGCAGTGTGTTTGGGGTCATTGTCCTGCTGGAAGGTGAACCTCCGTCCTTGCCTGGTACAGGTTTTGCTCAAGAATATCTCTGTATTTAGCACCATCCATCTTTCCCTCAACTCTGACCAATTTCCCAGTCCCGGCTGCTGAAAAATATGGTGTTCTTTGGGTGATGTGATGTGTTGGGTTTGAGCCAGACATAGCGTTTTCAATTTTAGTCTCATCAGAGCAGATCACCTTCCTCCATACATTTTGAGAGTCTCCCACATGCCTTTTCGCGCCATTTTGTTTTTTGCTGAAAGTAATGGCTTTCTTCTGGCCACTCTGCCATAAAGCCCAACTCTATGTAGCATACGGCTTATTGTCGACCGATGTACAGATACTCCAGTCTCTGCTGTGGAACTCTGCACCTCCTCCAGGGTTACCTTAGGTCTCTGTGCTGCTCTTTCATAATGCCCTCCTTGAGTTTTGGTGGGCGGCCGTCTCTTGGCAGATTTGCTGTTGTGCCATGTTCTTTCCATTTGGTTATGATAGATTTGATGGTGCTCCTGTGGATCATCAAAGTTTGGGATTTTTTTTATAACCTAACGCTGACTTGTACTTCTCAACAACATTGTCCCTTACTTGTTTGGAGAGTTCATTGGTCTTCATGGCAGTGTTTGGTTAGTGGTGCCTCTTGCTTAGGTGTTGCTCTGGGGCCTTTCAAAAAAGGTGTGTATATGTAATGATAGATCACGTGACACTTAGATTGCACACAGATGGACATCATTTCACTAATTATGCGACTTCTGAAGGTAATTGGTTGCACTAGAGCTTTTTATTGGCTTCATGACAAAGGGGGTGAATACATACGCACATGCTAATTTTCTGTTTTCTATTTCTAAAATATAGTTTTATGTATATATTTTTCTCATTTCACTTCACCAACTTAGACTACTGTGTTCTGATCCATCACATAAAAATCAGATTAATAAAACATTGAACTTAAGGCTGTAATGTAACAAACTAGGTAAAAAGTCAAGGGGGGTGAATAGTTTTCCAAGGCACTGTACCAGCTTGCCAGCAATCCCACATCGGCGGTCGTGATGGGAGGGCTTGCCTGGCATCCCAGGTAGTCCCCTTGCTGCTGATCTGGCCCTCCCGGGCCATGTGATCACTATGAGGTCGCTATCACATGGACAGAATAGCCGTGCACAGCAGTGCCTGCAGGGGACCTGCCTGGAATGACAGGCAATCCCCCTGATGCCTAGAAGAAAGTTCAATAAAGTTTAAAAACAGTGTAAAAGTAAATTATATATACTTCGATCATATATAGATATATATATATATACACTATGTCTTTAAGTTAATGTCAATATTAATATATAATATATATAAATTTTAAAATACACTTAGAATTATATTAATTTAACACACACACACATATATATATATATATATATATATATATATATATATATATATAACCAAGAGGGCTGAACTCACCTGAACATGCATACATTATAGGGTGCTGCTGGGGCCAAAATATACCAAATACAGAATTCAGCGCACTCGCTTATTCACTAAACAATGATTTCAAATCTTAGAGATTGTAGTAGTTTTATTTAAAAACACCTCCGAATATGGGGTACTTTGATGTAATTGGCAGGCTTATGCAATGTATGATCATATAATGTAACTAAACCCCCATCATTTTTTGCCTAGGTGAGGTGTTTTTAAATAAAACTATTACAATCTCTAAGATTTGAAATCATTGTTTAGTGAATAAGCGAGTGCGCTGGATTCTTTATTTTGTGTATGTATGTATGTATGTATATATATATATATATATATATTATAAAATAAACAAACTAAAAAAAAAATAATAAAAAAATAAATAAAAATTATATATACACAGAGGTGAATTCTGGTTGAACAGACATATTGTGCAAATTCAAAGTTTTGTTTACATTTTGTTTTGATCACAACTTGTACAACTGCCTTAGCCATTAAGGGGTTAAAAGACATGGGCTGCACCTTATTTATATTTTATTTATTTAGAAATAATCAGGATCAGTGATATCTAATCATTAAAATTGATTTTCAAATGAGCATTTATTTTAGAGGTTTTTTTTACTACTTGGTCGTAACATATATTTGAATAAAACTCATGATTATTTTTAAATTAAAAACAAATCTGATTTTTTTTTTTAAATTGATTTTGAAGGAGAAATCAATCTAAATAAAGTTTTCTATTTATGACACGTGATAGTCTAAATGTTACTCAGCCTGAAATATTTAATAGTTATATAGCATGTATATTCAAATAATATTTACATTTTCATAATTGAATCCCATTAATCCAAGTTAATTACACTTGAGGTCAGCAGAGATAACATGCACTATTTCACAGCAAAAATGGTATGATACAAAGTCAGAAAAGGATCTTAATCCAAATGTTATTTTGCAAATCTATGTACACAATGAATACCTTTAATTTAAATTGTTCTTTAAATAGGAGTGATTAACTTGTCAAACTAGAAATCATTTACCTTGCAATAATTTCATCGTTATCTATTTCTAATGATAAAACAAAATCAGTCTTAATATAATTGATAACCAATCTGAAAAAGTAAATATTCTAAATGTGAAATCTTCGTCTGGTTGCAAATATTAAAAATTAAAAATTATTACAACCAGCAAAAATGAGTATTTACGTTAAAAAATCATTATTTAAATCGAGTCTTACTGTCTAGTAATTTTAAATGATGATTTAAATTGTGATTGAAAGCGACTTGATTTAAATCAAATCCGCAGTGCCTTTCAGTGTTTTATTTATTAAATAATCTTGTGCTCACATTTTATTCATCATAATCCACATATCTATTTTACAACGCCACCCATGTCAGAAAATGATACTTACCCTGCACAACTCTCTATAACAGGTATTTTTGGATATCCTTTATGTGAAGTCATCATTCTACCATGTACGGCTAACAATCCACCAATCATAATGTCCCCTCGAGATCTAGCTCCAACAAAATCATTTGGGGTCTTGCAGCAGTATATCCCATTACGAAATATCCCAATGATGATTAGTAGTCCGCACAGTGCCATGTCTATGTAGCATGCTCTTTTCTCTGGATACACAGCAAAGTATACAACTGTCTAGCATAGTGCACTTAGTAAGTCACCTGCAAGCAAGCAGCAAAAGCCGGATACACCTTGCTTTGGTTAATACTCTTTGTATGGGGACAGCTGCTTCTGTATTCCTGCCATAGCTCTAAAACACTCTAAGGATTTTAGATTAAGATAACACCACATTGAATAGCTTTATTTACAAATAACAGTACACTGTACAAAATATTAAAATTGCTATTGAATAGTTGGCAGCTGTTCCATTCCTTGCATGCAGTGTCAAATACACTAAGCTGAACAAGATAATTTTGCCTGTTATCTAACATTGATTTAGTTTATAGTCGTCTTTCTTGTACTTATTACCAATGAAAGTACTTATTAGCTCCAAAGTAAATCTAGTGCAATAAAATGACATATCTTGTAAATCCCATAGCATGCATCGCTATTGACAACAGATCCATTATTTTTATTAAATAAACACTGTAGTTGATAAGGTTATCTATGAGTGAGTCACTATACTAATACATATTTTCAGAGACATAAAAGCATCCTTGATCTATGTGATTTTAAATAGACAAGACAATAAAGAGAATATATCACTAACAAAACTTTCGTTTCTTTAACGGAACGGAATTTTTAATCTTTCCATGAACATGGATTTTGAAAAACTTCACCTCTAGCAGTGTCACTGGGACGTCATTAGGGAATTAGGAACAAAAGTTCCAGGCTGACTAATGTAAATTCTGTCTATAATGAACGTCAGTACGGATAGGAAACAGGCGTTTAATGGCAGTGGCTATGCCTCCCTCCGTGCCTCCCATATCCTCCCATCAGCATGTTTTCTCCTGGACACTATGGGGAGTGACGTCAGCAGAGGAGGATTTGATAGAGGGAACAACTTAAAGGAACACGCCAGGCACCATAACAACTTTATCAGAATTAAGTTGTTATGGTGTCAGGAGGCCCTTAGATGCACTCTTACCTCAAAGATGCCTCCAGTGTCAATCTCTACTCCCCCCAGATGGTATCCTGCCTCTAAAATGTCACTTCCAGGAAGCGTGGAGTGCCGATGGGCAGGGGCGCCACTGATTGGCTGAGATTGGTCAGGCAATCAGTGACTCGCAATTCATAAAATTGGCTTGAAAAGAGACGTACCTTTTTAAAGACTCCTTACACTATAACCACTACAATAAGCTGGAGTTGTTATGATGCTTTTATAGTACACCTTACTCTAACATGCTACATTGAAAACTAATACACAGATGAGGATGATGCAGAACTCATGCACAAAACAAAATAAGGAAAAATTGGAAACACTTTATAATAAATTCATATTGTAACATACACATAACACCTAGTGGCGGTTGGTAAAGTTTTAATATAGTAGGGTACTAGACTCCAGACCTGGGATTTGACAACTCCCCCTATGAGACCTGCCAAGTCACACAGATACATGTTATGCCAGCAGTCCTGCTTTGTAACCTTATAGTAGGAGGGCTGAGAGAAAGGGCACTGTGAGCGCCTGTTTAACTATGCTTGCAGTGCCCATTCAGGTTTATAAACTAAAGTGAATTTCACATTTAATGACAGAGCAACCAAACTGAAATAATGGCTGACTTAGAAAACTTTTATAGTGTTGACCTTAAATTTGAAATTCATTCTAAATTCACTGTAAATTCTCACTTTAGTGAAAAACCCTACAAAAGGTATAGAGGGCTTTTTAGTGCCATATTCAAGCACAAGAGTCTCTACTGGTAAAAAATATATATATATTGCAAGTTATGTATAACTCAGTATGTAGGAAAATGCTTTACCTAATTATTTATACTTATGCAGTACTAATTCATAAACTATTCAAAAACATAAAACTATTAATATTAACGGCATATAAATCCACACAGAAAAAAATAGACTTTAAATGGTTACTCCAAACACCATGACCACTTTAGTGATTTGAAGGGGTCATGGTGCCAGGAATCCTTTTGCTGCTGTAAGTGTAACTCCAACTCCAGCAGCATCATTTGAGTGTCAATGTCAGTTCTGTAATATTTGACTTCTGATGCCACATGCCCTCTTGCTCAATGCCACAAATGACACAGACCCTCCACCTTTATGCCATTAATGTCTTCTTCTCACCCAATACACCCCCTATATGCTTCCTCACCTGTGAGAGAGAAGATGTTAGCAGAGGAGGATCAGACTTTCTGTTCTATCTCATACAGCAGGGGTTGGCAAAGGATCACCCCCTTTAATTTTGCGGGCCACATATACCCAAGATAAAATTGTGGGCATCCATCCTTTGCAGGGATAGCAAGATGCCCAGATGGTCGCCTAAGGGGGTGCCAGATAGGGAACTCAAAGACTGCCAGAAGCTTTGCTGATTTTAACTGTTTTAGTGTAGGAAATTGCCTATTCTGCCCAAATATATTGGTATTAGTAAGGATACCAGATTAGGGAGCTATCTATTTACCTGTTGAAAAATCAAAATTAAATAAAAAACTGACTTTTCTTAACTTTGGTGTTTCGGCTGTTTAGTAGATAACTCCCTAATTTGGTAATCTTATATATGCCAATCCCACATATGATCCACTACCCTGAAGAAAGATCAACTCAACTCTGATTTTTCACTGTAGTAGTTTGTGCTATTAAACCAATGATGGCCTCTGGATAGAGTGTCCAATAGCATGACTCCACTCCTGGGAAACTGACTCTGCTGCCCGAATGGCAACTGAATAGACATACCTCCATAAAGGTGTCCAGGTATCTGCCAAACCTGCTGAAACAGGGCAATTATCAAACCAGCCACCCCCCCCCCTTTTTTTTTTATTTTATTTTTAAATATGTCTAGATGCTCTCAAGTAAGCTTTTCAAAACAGCTACCATCAAGGGTAAAGGGGCCCTGCAGAACTGAAACTCTGAAAATCTGACATAATAACCTTTGCAGGGTATGCAATGAGCTGAAGTGGTCTGGGTGCCTATAGTGTTCCTTTGAATCATTAGCTTATTCCATCCAATCACACAGCACCTCCAGGCGCATAACTTAATTGAGAGAGGAAGCAGAGGGTGCATGACCTCTGCTTTGGTTCCCCTTGTGCCACATTGCTAATAGGGACTGTAAACCAACATAGCACCAGTCCTCTGGCTGTTCTCTGGTGCAAACAACGCTCTCCCTACTCATCTGCGTACACCTATCATTAAATGATTGTTTTTAGACAAATTTGCAGCATCTTAAAGGGACACTACAAACACATAAAGCACTTTAGCTTGCTGAAGTGCTTTATGTGTGAAGAGTGTGTGCTTTTTATCATTTTACAAAAAGCACAGATTTTGATAGAAATTGGCACTTTGATAATTTAACCTTGTTACACCCCCTGGCCGTCAATCATACAACAGGTAATTTCCCAGAGCACCTGCCTCGCAAAGACTTTTAATTAAGTTGGGGCGTCTGTGATTAGGGGACAATAGTGAAGGGAGGAATTGGAAAGGCTTTGGACAAGAGATCTTCAGCTTTTGAAAACTGTTTTATTCTGATATACACCCAATATAAAAAAAAATGCCTAGTTACATGCATATATGCTTAACTGTGGTTATATCTACTATACAGTGATTTTTATCTTTTTTTTTTTTTGGCATTGGAGTGCCCCTTTAAGCACTGTTTCACAGAATGCAAAATTAAAGTATAGTTCTCCATTTCGATTTTCAGGATGGCATAAGAGGATAAAGTAATGCATGGTGCCTTTTGTCTCAATACATAAATGAGCACAGTTAAATAGCTAGATTAAAAAAAAAAAAAATACTTCTAATAAATACCAAATGTAATTTACTAATCATTTATGTTTTTGTGGATTTCCTTGAGCGGAATTTTAAAGGTCATTCAATGGATTTATGATTTGTTTACATTGCAATTTTTATTACAGTTTGATTTGTTGGTTTAAGGTTTGTTGCTGTCACAAGTCAGTCATAACAGGCAGTTTATGCTCATCGCTAGAAATAACTGGTTTTGTAGATCGTCTAAGAAATATAAAAACTGTCAATGTTTTTGAAAAGCTTTTTGACTATTTACATGCCAAGAATGATCTAAAAAGTTAATTGTGTATTTCCTAGACATATTAATTAATACTTCCAATGAAGACCTATGTTAAGCTATCTGACAGCATTTACTTTTTTCACATTGTTGATGCCTGGTAAAACCCTGCAGATGCAACCAGGTAAAGAACAACCCTAGCTACATACATAATGAATCCTTGTCAGAGCACCTTACCAGTAATTGTCCAGGCCCCAGGGAGAGTGCGCAGCTTAGCGGACAGGGGCACATGTATGAGTGTGGGATGGATGATGCATGATTGGCTATATGCTACATGTGGGAGTGTGAGATGTGAGGAAGTGGGTGGTGACAGATCAGACTGACCTCAGTGCCACTTAGGAGCCGGGCCAGCAACAAGTTTCCTGTGATCCTCCTGTTGCTGGGCTTGCTGGATTTTCTGCCTGGGGGCCCTGGATGCTGGATCCTGGTTTTACAGCCATCCTGTCTGCCCTCAGGGCTGGTAATGGTGCTGCAGATGGTGGCCTCCTCCTTCCCCAGCAGCCTGGAGGTGAGGTTCCCCTCCCCAGCGGTCTGGCTCTCCCTGGGCACCCTCCCTGGGCACCCTCCCTCGGGCTCTGTGAGCCCCAACTCTCCTCCTCGGGCCCGGTACAGGAGCTGCAGCCCGGGCCTGAGGCTTCAACAGGGCCGCGCACCTGGACCACGTGGCGCACGGCCTGCTCCGCGCCCGGTCCTTCCGCCGCCCCTGGTGTCCGTGCGGTGGCATCTGCTGTGGGCCGTGCCCCCCCCCTGGAGGTAGTGGGGGGGGGCGGAAGCTAGGCAATCGGCCTGGGTGGCGTGTGGGATGCCGCCCGGGGTCCTCCCCTCTCGGCCGGCAGTGGTAAGTGGGCCCCCTGCGGGGCACGCGGGGTGGCTCTCGCCCGCTGCCGCGGGGTGGGGAGGGTTTCTGTATCCCCCTCATGGGCCCCGGGGGGTCTGCTTGTCCCGGCCCTCCCCTCCCTGTTTTGCCCAGGCAGGGTCCGCGGGCAGTGTGGGCTCCCTTCCCCTCACCCCCCTCCAATGTTTCTCCCATCTCTTGTGTCCCCCCTTTCTGTGTGGTGTCTCCCTCTTATTTGTGTTCCTCCTGTTTCTTTATTGTCCTCCCCCCTTTTTTGTTCCCTCCTCTTTATTGTCCTTGCTGACCTTCTTTGCCCCCCACCCCCCCTCTCCTTACCTGTTTCGGCAGCCTCCTGTCCTGGAGCGTTGGCTCTTCCTCTCTCCACTGCTGCTTCAGGCTTTGGGTGCAGTTGCCGGATCCGTCCAGCAGGTGGCATCTGAAGCTCCAGTTGCCATGGGAACTGCGCTGCAGGTGATGGACTCCTCTTTTCAAGCTGCTGTCTCTTCTATGGTGCCGCCAGCAGTTCCTGGGGTGCCGTCAGGTGAGTAATGTTTTCCTGCACTGGCTGGGGTGCCAGCGCTAGGCGGGTTCATGTTGGGTTTATTAAAAAAAAATTATAATAATAATAATTTTCTACAACCTAACCACAAAAATAAAAAATAAATAAAATAAATTAAAGAGTAACAGTCAGCCGCGCTCAGTGTAGTTCCCTCCTGGCACAACGGTGCATCCAAGGGGACGTGGGGGCGCAGAGCGGCGACGCCGGTGCTCGTAAGCGCGATGCACTGATGGCTCAACCACTACTGGAATCGGCAGGCCATGGGGCCTCTACTGGAGGGGGTCACCCGAGACTTCAGGATCCCCTTCTCAGAGCGCCCGGCGTGAAATACTTAAAGTGAATCAATGCAGTAGGGAGGAGACTATGTTTAAAAGAAGTGAAACTTCCGCAATAAGAATACATAGTCTTAAATTGGAGGGGCGAAGGTTTCACAATCATACCCAGATGTATTACGTTAACAGAAGGGTAGCGAATGCATGGACTAGCCTTCCAGCTGAAGTGGTAGAGGTTAACACAGTAGAGGAGTCTAAGTGGGTGTGGGATATGCGTAAAGCTGTCCTACCTATAAGATAAGGCCAGGGACTAATGTCAGTGGTTAGAAAATTGGGCAGACTGGATGGGTCGAATGGTCCTTATCTGCCGTCACATTCTATGTTTATGTTTCTAAGTCTGTGCTCGACTTCCTGCAGATGGTGCTTGATGAGCTCCTGTGGGAGGTAGCTTTGGGGTGGTTCGCTGGGTCAGTTGAGGCCCCGTCGCTACCCAAGTTGCAGGTCCCCTTTGGGCCTGGTGCCCAAGTAGGAGGCAGGGGATTTTCGTCTGATTCATCGTTTGCCCTGCCCTCAAGGGGTTTCGGTGAAAGATCTTGGGCGTCCTAGGCATCCTTGATGCTGCAGTACGCATGGTAGGGGCAGTGGGCCCTGGGGCTTTGCTAACGGAGGCCGACGTCGGAGCCGCGTTTTCGATTTTTGCCAGTTCATATGGATTGTCATCAACTCCTGGGTGGTGGGTTTGTGGTCGGTATTATGTGGATACATGCTTCCTGATGTGGTGTTCATGTCCTGCTTTTACGTTGAGTGTGTCAGCGTTTTTCTGGAGTGGGTGGTGCGGCAGCAGGCGAGGATTGGCTCGTTGCTGCGTTACCTTGATAGCTTTTGTGTGTGGGTCTTCACTGACTTGTCAACTCTTGCTTGACTCGGTGGAGCTTTAGGGTCCTCTTAGAGCACGGTAAGACAGTGGGGCCCAGGTGCCTTAGCTCCTTGGGTATCAAAATTGACTCTGCGGCCATGGAGTGCTGGCTGCCACGGGATAAGGTTGAGAGGGTGTGGCGATGGCCAGGGGTCTGAGGAGGATGCAGCTGTGCGAGTTGCAGTCCCTGTTAAGGAGGTTGACCTTCCACTGCTGGATCAGGCCCATGGGGCAATTGTCCCGCAGGCACCTGGTGGTCGCTACTACTGGGACCGCAGCATTTTATCCGGCCCTGGAGGTCTGGGTTTCCATCCTTACCGAGTATATTGGAAGGTCATCTTAGCAGGCGCCGGAGGTGTCCAGTTCGGACTTGCCCCTCTATACGGACGCGGCTGGCTCTGTCTGGTTTGGGCGATTCTGGGATTGCGCTAGTGTGCTAACATGGTCGGTGGCTTGACCAGGAATCTTGCCTTTCTGGAGCTTTTCCGTTGTGGTGGTATTGGATTTATGGGGTCGGGAGCTACAGGACAGTCGGTTGTTATTCACCGTGCCAACCTCGGGGTTGTCCAGGCGATTAGCCAACTCTCGGTCCCCCTCTTTTTCTCTTTTGGTACTTCCCCTGCTCCAGCGCCTGGTGCTCTGGTGCCCGTGTCTTTATGTGTCGTATAGGTCCGGTTCCTCTTGGGCCAAGGTACTCCAGGGTATGGTTGGAATGGCAGACGCGGGAGTCAGAGGTGGGTGTATTTGCGGGTACGCCTGCTCGTTACAAGGTCTGTTGTGACTGCTGGAGCATTGAGTTTCGGCGGATATGTCACCCTCCGGGGTGTACTTGCGCGTTTCCAGTTTAGTTTTCTGGTTAAGTCCCAGGGTTGGGTGGCGGTCACCACGGAGTTTATGGTATGGCATGCGGTGTAGGGCCTGTGCAGGGGTCGATTTCTGTGGATCTAAAGCGGACGGTTTTGGGGGCCCTATGGGCACAATTGTGCCAGGTGCTCCCAGAGGTATTCCTCGCCGTTTCTTCATTTCTTTGGGGCCATGAGGATTGGGGTATTGGTGGGTCTGAACTGGTCAGCTGGTAGGGGAGGATTCTGTTTGCGGATGTCCGGGATGGTCAGGACCCAGTGTCCTTCAAGACTCGTCCATACAAGACCGACATCCTTTGCAAGGGCAGGTGGGTCCCGCTGGCAGCAGTTCCAGGATTGGACGCCTGTTGGGTCTGGGCGCTCAGGGAGTCCGCGGTACAGCCGTACCTGGCTGGCCCGATCATGGTATACAAGGTAAACTTCCTCACCCATTTTTAATTTGTTTCGCGGTCATTCTTTCCGCATTGGCGCTGCGACGGGATGTGCAGAGGATAGGAAGGTGGGACTGAGATTTGTTCCGGTGTGCGGGACGCTGGTTTGCTCCATTGATTTTTTTATTTATTTTTTTTTTTCTTCTCAGGGCGGATGGTTGAGCACTCTACGGTGGAGGTTCGGTGGTTCAGCGCCGGGGGCACATGAAGTGTCTGGCTCCTCCCGGAAGTGGTCAGGTTCTCTTGCTTGCGGGGGGTGTCATTGGTTCTGGTCATTCCCCCTGGGGGGGTACTGACCTGGGGACGGTGCCGCTTGGAGACTGGGTGGACATAGGGAAGCGGGACTTGTCCTTATGTCATTTCCGGGGGTTTTTTGCTTGGTGTGGTCGGAGGTTGTGGGGAGGAACTATTGGCTGCAAGCACACATCTGGAGTGCGTGGGAGCGCTGCCGTGAAGGGTTTTAACCGTTGGGTTTCGCGGTTCGTTATAGGGGTTTGGGGGATGCCCATTTCATCAGGTTTTGAGAAGGAGGCGGCAGATTTGTTACGGCCAGATGGGGTTCATTTGAATGAGGTTGGGCTCTACCGTTTTAATCTGGCCATTCTAGAGGCGGTGGAACGAGCCATGGTTGGTTTGTTTGGGGTCCCCCGCTGATTTTAGGCTTAAAACAGCGGGGTTGTGGAGGGGGTCTGTCCTTGGGATGGTTTGGTAGATTAGATGAAAAAGGGGGATAATGGCCAGGTCTCATCCTCCCCCTGTCTTTTATATTGAAACCTGGAGGAGGTATGCAAATTGTTTGTTAATTTATGATATTTATTATTTTGTTATATGTTAAAGGAGTCATACAGTATTTGGTTGTGTTAATAAATGCTGTGGCCTGTTTTCTACAAGAAGTTGTCTGTCGTTATTTGAAGGGGTAAGTTATGGTTTTATGGGGGATGAAGGGAATGCTATCCAATGCCCACTACATACATACATGCGGCATGACGCCTAAAGATATATATTTGTCTACCTCAACTGCTATAGATATCAGCTAATAATCATAGGCGTGCGCAGCCTATTGCATTAGGGTGTGCACCCTAAAGCACAAACACATGCCGCGTGTGTGTGTGTGTGTGTGTGTGTGTGTATATGTGTATATGTATATGTATGTATATATATATATATATATATATATATACACACACACACACACACACACACACACTGGTGTGTGTGTGTGTGTAAGGGTGCTGTTTGTGAGGGTGCTGTTAGTGTGTGTGTGTGCGAGGGTGCTGTGTGTGTGCTCTGTGTTTGTGGGTGCTGTATGCGTGTGGGGGGTGCTGTGTGTGTGTGTGGGTGCTATGTGTGTGGGTGATTGTGGGGGGGTGGAGGTGGGGGAACATTACTTAATATCCCCCCCTCCCTTCTTACCTTATGTAGGGAGGGGGGATTCTTTCTGCTTTCCCTGGTGGTCCAGTAGAGAGTGAACTCTAGCCCCTGTGAGGCTAGAGTTCACTCTCGCGAGATCTAAGCGTTGCCATGGCAATGCTCAGATCTCGCGAGAGGAACCCAGCTGAGCTGCTGGTTGAGTTCCCCAGGTCCTCTCCTGCTGCAGTGGGGAGGGAGGCTGAGAGCAGAGCCAGGGCTCGGATAGCACCGGCTCTGCATGAGCCGACAAGGGAGATCCTGAGATCTCCCCTGCCAGTCTCACTCCATAGGCATGCCGTGGGGATTAGGGTGTGCCCAGGCACTAACCTTAAAGGTACACAAAGTAATTAATAATACAATTACTGTTCAGTAAATATACTCCCACTAAAACTATGCAAACAGCTACCAAAAGCTGACAATCTCTTGTCTGCAGCCTTTGCAAGCCCTCCCCTTCTAACCCCGCCCACACTTTCTGTGGCTGTCCAATCACTTGCTTTCTAATGCAGTTCAATGAGAAGTTTTGCAAAGCAGGTGCTCTGAACATTTGCTGCCCTTTGATTCTAGCTCGACTGGAATGAGCAACCAAGAAGTACCAGGACTGGTTGTCTGATTGACAGACAGGGGGTGAAACAAGGTTCATTTATAAAACTGCCCATTTCTATTGAAAACTGCATTTTTTGTAAAAAGCAAAAAAGAGGACATACTTTTCTCACATAAAGCATATCAGCAAGCTCAAGTGCTTTAAGGGTCTTTAAGTGTCTTTTTAAATAGATCATTTATGAAAGCTGGTGAGGAAAAAGAATCCGAGGATTATTATTATAATTATTGCCATTTATATAGCGCCATCAGATTTTGGAGTGCTTTACAGTATTATGAGATGGGGGATTTAACTATAAATAGGACAATTACAAGAAAACTTACAGGAACAATTCGTTGAAGAGGACCCTGCTCAAACGAGCTTACAGTCTATAGGAGGTGGGGTATAAAACATATTAGGACAGGAAATATCAATCAAGTGAAGTGAAGCAGAGCTGGATGAGAGAGTAGATTGCTGCCCTTTAGGAGAGAGCAAGAGACAGGTATGTGAGGTAGAGGATGTAAGTTATGTAAGGTAGAGGATCATTAAGCTATACCTATGGATCTGTGAGGAGAGATAAGAGGGGATAGAATTGTTCAGTGCTACATATGTATGGGTTAGCACTTTGAATTGACTCCTATAGGATACAGGAAGCCAATGTAAGGACTGACAGAGGGGTGAGGTATGAGAGTACCGACTAGAGAGGAAAATCAGTCTGGCGGCAGCATTTATTACAGACTGTAATGGGGCAATATGGCTTTTGCGAAGACCAAAGAGGAGAGGGTTACAATAATCCATGCGGGAAATTACTAGAGCATGGACAAGATCCCTGGTAGCATCTTTGGTAAGAAAGGGGCAGATGCAGGCTATGTTTTTAAGTTGGAATCTACAGGATTTGGCAACATACTGGTGTGAGGCACAAAGGTGAGGCCAGAGTCAAGTATGTCGCCAAGACAGCGTGCGTGCAAGAATGGATACCACTGACTTGAAGGGAGAGCGATCATATCTTTAGTAGGATGTACATAGGATACAGTTTTAAATGCCAGTACTCCTTAGAAAAATACTTATCTTAGCCACTTCCACAATGTATATTCCTTTTATTGTGCCAATTTAGGATTTACTCTGGTTAAAAATACTGTAAGTAATATGTAGCACTCAGTCGGCAGCCCTTGAATCATACTTAAAAAGCATAGTTTGTTTCTTAACATTGCTTATTTTATAAGTTGTATGACAAATAGCAAATTAACCAGAAAATGCCCATTTGTGTTTTTTCTTTTTAAAATATATATATATATATATATATATATAATTTTTTTTTTTTTCATTTTTGTTTTTTTGTGCATAGATGATACAGGTAACATTTTAGCTAGCAATGCCACAACAGCTATCGCCCCAGATTCAATAGACAAATAAAAACAATTGCATGGCATGAGTAACTGTGCATATTTTTAAAAGTAAGAAAAGTAGATCGAAGTGTGGTATGGGTCAAAGCATTTGTGTAAGAGGCTGTAATGCGTAATCAGGATTTTGTGTACAAGAGTTGTTTAGGCACGGTCTATCATGGCCTGTGTAAGTAATATGAAACAAGCTAGTACGGAAATATATATATCACTATGTGATGATCGTTAACATGCTTAATCATTGCTTCAAACTTATGAACAGGTATTTTATCTAAACATTCAAGATTGTGTTAGCCTAATAAAAGTAGACTAGGTAGTGGATTCAAGAGTTAAGCAGTTAAGAGTATTACGTTAAATGAGAAGTTAGCTAGCAAGCAAACCAACAGTTGATCAAATGTATAGTTCTCACAGTATGTACGTGGGCAAAGTTACGTAAATCTATTCATGAGTAAGTGAGAAGAAGAATTCATATGGACCCACTGCCCTTTTGGCGCAAATCTGTCCCTGTGGCGCAGATACATCGACGACTGTTTCTTCATATGGAAAGGAGATTTGGAGTCTCTAGAACAATTCAAAACCTACCTCAACAACAACCCTTATCATCTGAAATTCACTTTTAACCACTCCAAAGAACAGATTGAATTTTTAGATCTCAACATTTTTATTGAGGAAGAAAGAATACACACGAAAACTTTTAAGAAAAACGTTGATTGTAACAGTTTTATTCCTTTTAACAGTCACCACAAACCAACCTGGCTAAGAAACATACCTCAAAACCAATTTAGGAGGGTTAGACGTAACTGTTCCCAAACTGATATCTGTATACAACAAATGCAAGAAATGAAAGAAAGATTCACAGAAAAAGGATATCCTCAGACTTTATTGGGGGAAGCTATGAACAGAACATTAGCAACACCAAGAGAAGATACGCTACGTAAAACGCAAATCATTGAACCATACACTTCTACACCTGCCTTCATCACAAAATATAACCACCAATATCTTACGATACAGAAAATCTTGAAAAAACATTGGGGGATCCTTGAACAAGACCCAGTCGTCTCTAAATTCCTCGACCACCAACCACGCATCATCTTTACCAAGGCACCTAATCTCCAACTTATGCTGGCACCTACCATCAAATCCTCATACACGACTATGGATCAAGATACCTCTGTTCCTGGGTGGGCCAGCATTCGAGACTGGTGTGGTTATTGCTTTGCTCAGTTGGGGCCTTTCCAGCAGCACCCCCATGTGTTGCCCTTTGTGGGACGATATTCTGGCTGGCAGTCGTGCAGTTGGTGCTTTCGGCTGGTTACTAATAGGTGTTAATGCAGGAGGCTGTCGCTTGCTCTCCAGACACTCCCAGAATCACCTAAATATGGCGTTGATTTTTGCCTGAAAGGCTGCTGTCCAATTGCTGGGAGTCAGTCGCTCTTTGTGGACTGGGGTGCTGTCGGCCATCTTTGTGCGGTCTCGTGGCTCCCGTCCATCAGAGTTTCTCCCTGGGTCATTTTTGAGGTAAGTGCTTGTTATGTGGGGGGTAGACTGGGATGTCCTCCAGCAGTCCAGAGGGGGTGACGGGGACGAGGGCCTTTGCTCAGATTTGCAGCTACCACGCGTGTAGGCCTCTGACACTTGTCTAGTGAGTAATGCTCGTAATGTCGCTTGGGTGGTGTCATTTTGTTCTTCTCAGTGTCACCTCACGTCTGGTGGCCTGTTTGTCTCGGTCACCATGTGAGCAACGAAAATCAGCTTTGTTTGTTAATCGCTAATAGGATAGCGTCCTCTCTGCTCAGCCCCTCCATTTGTGAATTTTGAAGAGTCAAACTATGTAAAATTATTTTCGGATTTGTTTCTTTTTATAAAGTAATATATTCGGTAAGAACAAAACAAAATCATTAGAAAGCGAGTAATTGGTGGTAATACATTTAAAGTGCACATAACTTTGTGTAAAACATGCACTTCAGTGATACAAATAAAGTGATTTTAGTACAAATATAAATTCTCATGCAGCACCATCTATGTTTCAACATCCATAAAACATAAAAACACAAATAATAAAATAGTACACAATACTCTATTTTTGTATATTTCTTTTTATCTGAAACAAGAAATAGTGTAACTGTATTATTAACAGCTTGTTTTGGTAAAACTCACAAATAACGAGTGGTTATGTTCCACACAAACAATCCAGCCCTGGGAGAAAAAGCCCCAAGAATGTGTGGAATATGCTTGATAACGAAATGTGCTTGATATCGAAATCCTGCTTCTAAGGATGGAAAATCGACAGGTGTCCAGATTTTTTTTTTTTATTTCTGTGTAAGCATTAATACAAGTTTTTAATCTTTATTTGTAAAGCTTTGTATATGTTTATTAAATTTGTATGACAATAAAGCTTCATTTGATGTATATGTATACACAAAGATAGAGTATTGTGCACCATTATTATTTTTATCTATTTTTTTTCAAGTACTTTTTATAATACAACAAAAAGTTGCCTTTTTACATATTTTACATAGCTATATCCTTACCTGTAAAATAAATTAATCATTAACAGATAGAGAACTGCATTTTAATTAAAAGTAGAACAGGCCAGATATTTTCAGGAATTGTAAACAGGTAGTGGATCACGTCTTATTTTTCAGACCAGTTATTTCACATTCATAAAGCGTTCTGTAATTCCCTGAGGGCCAACAACATGTCATGAGTGTCAAGAAAGGACTTCCCTAACCCTTCTCCTAAAGTAGGTAGGGGACTGCTAAGATTAGGGTTTGATACAACCCTCCCTCATTTCCATAACAGAAATATTGTAGGAAGCAAAATGCATTAT